GAGTGCCGCTACAGCCCCTGTATAACCCCCCTCCACCCTCACCATGTTCCATAGCCTCCTCACCCAGACGTGTAAGAATGCGGGGGGGGGGAGGGGAGGCAAGGCTCCGTACACCCTCCCATTCCACCCCAGTGGACAGCCCAAGCAAAAGGCTGTCATATTTTTAACCTTTAACCTTTTCCTTCCTGCCGATCCTCCTCCCAAACCCCACCCGGGTTCTCGCCCTCTTTTTATAATCAATTAATAAAGAATAAATGATTTTTAAACGATAGTGACTTTATTTCCTTTGAAAGCAAGCTGGGGGAAGGGGGAGGGTGGGTTCCTTACAGAGAATGAGTCAATAAAGGGGACGGGTTTTCATGAAGGAGAAACAAACAGAAATTTCACACTGTAGCCTGGCCAGTCATGAAACTGGTTTTCAAAGCTTCTCTGATGCACAGCGCTTCCTGGTGTGCTCTTCTAATCGCTCTGGTGTCTGGCTGCGTGTAATCAGCAGCCAGGCGATTTGCCTCAGCCTCTCACCCCACCATAAAGGTCTCCCCCTTACTTTCACAGAGATTGTGGAGCACACAGCAAGCAGAAATAACAATGGGGATATTAGTTTGGCTGAGGTCTGAGCGAGTCAGTAACGATCGCCAGCGACCTTTTAAACAGCTAAATGCACATTCTACCACCATTCTGCACTTGCTCAGCCTGTAGTTGAACAGCTCCTGATCCTGACCAGGCTGCCTGTGTATGGCTTCATGAGCCATGGCATTAAGGGGTAGGCTGGGTCCCCAAGAATAACTATTGGCATTTCAACATCCCCAACGGTTATTTTCTGGTCTGGGAAGTAAGTCCCTTGCTGTGGCCATTTAAACAGATTAGTGTTCCTGAAGATGCGAGCGTCATGAACCCTTCCCGGCCAGCACACGTTGATGTTGGTGAAACGTCCCTTGTGATCCACAAGTGCCTGCAGCACCATTGAAAAGTACCCCTTGCGGTTTATGTACTCTGTGGCTAGGTGCTCCGGTGCCAAAATAGGGATATGGGTTCCATCTATCTTCCCACCACAGCTAGGGAATCCCATTGCGGCAAAGCCATCCACTATGACCTGCACATTTCCCAGAGTCACTACCTTTTGTAGCAGCACCTCAGTGATTGCTTTGGCTACTTGCATCACAGCAGCCCCCACAGTAGATTTGCGCACTCCAAATTGATTCCCAACTGACCGGTAGCTGTCTGGTGTTGCAAGCTTCCACAGGGCTATCGCCACTTGCTTCTCAACTGTGAGGGCTGCTCTCATCCTGGTATTCTGGTGCTTCAGGGCAGGGGACAGCCAGTCACAAAGTTCCATGAAAGTGCCCTTACGCATGCGAAAGTTTCGCAGTCACTGGGAATCATCCCACACCTGCAACACTATGCGGTCCCACCAGTCTGTGCTTGTTTCCCGGGCCCTGAATCGGCGTTCCACGGATAGAACCTGCCCCATTAACAGCATAATCTCCAAAGTACCAGGGCCCGTGGTTTGAGAGAATTCTGTGTCCATGTCCATGTCCTCATCACGGTTGTTGCTGCGCTGCCGTCGCCGCCGCCTCCTCGCCTCGTTTTTCTGGTCCTGGCTCAGCATAAACTGCACGAGAATGCGCGAGGTATTTACAATGTTCATGACTGCTGTCTTGAGCTGAGCGGGCTCCATGCTTGCCGTGGTATGGAGTCTGCAGTGTTCACCCAGGAAAAAAGGCGTGAAATGGTTGTCTGCTGTTGCTTTCATGGAGGGAGGGGTGAGGCTGTACCCAGAACCACCTGCGACAATGTTTTTTGCCCCATCAGGCACTGGGCTCTCAACCCAGAATTCCAATGGGTAGGGAGACTGCGGGAACTATGGGATAGCTATGGGATAACTACCCACAGTGCAACGCTCTGGAAATCGACGCTAGCCCTGGTACATGGATGCACACCGCCAAATTAATGTGCTTAGTGTGGCCGCATACATTCGACTTTATACAATCTATTTCCAAAATTCGAATTATATACATTCGGATTAATCCCGTAGTGTAGACATACCCTAAGTCCCCATTAAGTGTGCCCAAGGGACTGATATTTCATCTCATACCAAATCTTGCAATACCCCCATGGCACCTGTAGCATGTGTCCCTGTGCAACTGCTGCACATTGTTTGCAGTTTCCTAGCCCGCAAATTCCAATAACCTCTCCCTGCATGCAGAGCCAGCAGCCATTTTGTTTTCAGAGGTTCAGCAGCTTGTTACAGAGGAGAGAGACACACTGTGCTCTCTCATGGGAACTTTAATTCTTTGTTATGAGTTTCCAGGATCTAAAATAAAAGCCACATTAGATTGAAAGCTGTGGGTTTCTATTTGGATCCAGAAAAAACATAATGATGATGCTTTATAATTTGTATAATGATAGCAGCTGGGACTCCCAATCCAGGATCGGAATCCCATTGTGTTAGGTGCTGCACAGACCAGTAATAAAGAAGACAGTCCCTACCCCAGACAGATCCCAGTGCCAGACACAGCAAAGCAGGCAAATGGGACACAGTTTGGTTAAGAAACAGAAATGAAATCTCAGCTCAGCACGCAACTGCCTGGGTGTGATTTGCAGACACCACAACACAGGTAGGTTTTAAGGAGGCAGTGCAAAGAGGATAAGCATAATTATTTACAAATGTCAAGGGATTTCCCCTGCCCCTGGAATCAGAGGCAGCGTGGGAGAGTTCCCAGAGGGGCTTGAGGGAGATGCAAGTGAGTTAGCGAGGCTGCTTTCACTGGCCAGCCGAAGACAGAGTCAATAGCTGAATGGGCTGGTAGAGCTGATAGGGCAGAGCTGCTATAGGAAGGATGTTTCTGAATCCCCTGTGCTGTCTGTAGATGTCACAGATCCAAACAGCATAAAGGCAGCTCACAGAGAGTGGAAGACCATGTGCAGGGACATGGACTGAATCTCCTGATAAACAACGCTGGCATCGCCCTGATGACCACCATGGAGAATGAGAACGCTGAGACCATGGCAATTGTATACCTAACTAACACAGTTGGGCCTCTGCTGGTGAGCCAGGTAAGAATACACCTGACAGCCAGGAAACTCCTCTGACACTGAGCCAAGACTGCCCTGGAACGAGCTGAGACGCTAAGACAAATTTTTGACTCATTTTTTAAAAACAAGGTGGTCTGCAGCTTCAGACTCAAGAGAAGCAACAAAGAGTCCTGTGGCACCTTATAGACTAACAGATGTATTGGAGCATAAGTTTTTGTGGGTGAATACCCACTTCGTCAGATGCATGTAATGGAAATTTCCAGAGGCAGGTATAAATATGCAGGCAAGAATCAGGTTGGAAATAACGAGGTTAGTTCAATCAGGGAGGATGAGGCCCTCTTCTAGCCGTTGAAGTGTGAACACCAAGGGAGGAGAAACTGCTTTTGTAGTTGGATAGCCATTCACAGTCTTTGTTTAATCCTGAGCTGATGGTGTCAAATTTGCAAAGGAACTGAAGCTCAGCAGTTTCTCTTTGAAGTCTGGTCCTGAAGTTTTTTTGCTGCAGGATGGCTACCTTTAAATCTGCTATTGTGTGGCCAGGAAGGTTGAAGTGTTCTCCTACAGGTTTTTGTATATTGCCATTCCTAATATCTGATATTGCCGGCTATCCCTCTGATACTAGACTCAAGAAAGACGCTCTAACATCCCCTAACACTGGCCACCAGCAGGATTTGAACCTTGAGCACCAAAGCACAGTCTTCTACCACTTCTACCTCTCACTTCTTTCAAGTGTAACTAGCCTCCTCTGCTGCTCCTTCTGTACACCTCAGTCTCCCGCCCTGCTTCCCTGCA